GGTCGAACGACCCTTTCACAGGGGTCGCCTAAGACCATCAGAAAACACGTATGTAATTACATACTGTTTTTGTGATTGATCACTATGCTTTATGTTCAATTTGTAACAATGAAAATATATCCTGCATATCAGATATTTACATTATGATTCATAACAGTAGCAAACTTACAGTTATGAAGTAACAACGAAAATAATTTTATGGTTGGGGGTCACCACAACATGAGGAACTGTATTAAAGGGTCACAGCATTAGGAAGGTTGAGAACTACTGGATTAGACCATCAAACCTCAGAGGGAAGATATGGGTGGGTGGGGGTAAGGGGAGGAGATCAACCAAAGGACTTGTGTGCATGCATATAAGCCTAACCAATGGACACAGACACCAGGGGGGTGAGGACATGAATGGGGGGATAAGGACACAAATGTAATACCTTAATAAATAAAAATAAATAAAACTGGAGACAGACCAGAGAAGAATAGTGTCTCAAGAACTAGATAAGGCCGAAACCGGTTTGGCTCAGTGGATAGAGCGTCGGCCTGCGGACTGAAAGGTCCCAGGTTCGATTCCAGTCAAGGGCATGTACCTGGGTTGCAGGCATATCCCCAGTGGGGGATGTGCAGGAGGCAGCTGATCGATGTTTCTCTCTCATCGATGTTTCTGGCTCTCTATCTCTCTCCCTTCCTCTCTGTAAAAAAATCAATAAAATATATTTAAAAAAAAAAAAAAAAAAAAGAACTAGAAAAGGAGGGTTTCAGGAAGGATGTTGAACTTGGCATATGATGCAGCCCAAGAAACTAGTTTTTTTCCTATCTTCACTCAGGCTTTTTTGAAATCTACCTTTTCCACTTGGGTCTGAGTTCTTTGAGGCTAGAAAGTCACAGTAGTGCTAGAGGCTTTTATATTGTCTCTGACCAAGTATTCCCTTACTCAGCGTAAAATCTGAGCTCTGCTGAAACCCACGGGAGTATTTATGGTGCATTGCAATTCAGTCCTGTCTACACCTTCCTCCCCTACCAAGGGCTGTGCTGTTCCAAGCTCAGAACACACCATACAGCTGGGTACTGCTAGTACATTCATCCCATATACAACCAACACCTATATTTTCTAAGATACAGATTTTTTTTTTTAAGAAAAGGAAAGGTAAATGGAAAAATGCTTTAAAAGTTTGAGTCCTCCAAATTTATCTACAGGATTTTTCCTGTTACATTCTGTTAAAACTAACACTCTCTAATTTCATTTGTTCTGCTTTCCCATCTGGAAAACTTGTATCCCCTTCCCCAGATTTACCTATTTGTCCTTCCAAGTCTTCTCAGATGCTTTTCCCTCCAGCACAACTTTCCTAATTCTTGCAGGTGAAAATCTTGTCATTCTATCTCCCTCACTAACTAACACAGACTTTGGCCACGAGCAGTTTCTCAATAAATGCAATTGGGTTATTTTAGCCTTGGTTCAGTTTCTACATAAGCATATAGAAAAGTGCTTTACTTTTGCATTTTTTAAAAATATACCCAGATCTTTCAGGTGTACAAAAGTTACAAATCAGAATACATTCGTTATTTTTTAAAATATTAATACAGATTTAATCTATGTATTATTCTAGATGTAAACTCATCTCTAGATTCTAACTTTAAATATTTGGATAAATTACTGCTTTAATATAGTTTTATTTTTTAAATATGTTTTTATTGGTTTTAGGGAGAGAGGGAGAGAGAAACATTGATCAGTTGCACCTCAACCAGGAATCGAATCTGCAGCCTGGGCATTGCCCTGACTAGGAATTGAGCCAGCGACCTTTTGGTGCATGGAACAACACTCAACCAACTGAGCCACACCAGCCAGGGCGGTTGTTTTTGTTTTGTTTTGTTTTTAAGAATTTAAATCATTGATCTTGTTACTTTTCCAAATTAATATTTTCCATTTTTTTACATTATTACTATGGTGTTCAATAAGAATAAACTTGTTCAGAAGCCTTGATATTTAAAATAATAACCTGTTTATTCTAACTGGAGTCTGTTTTTCTGTGTTTAAAGTGAACTTTGTCTTAAAGATCACTATTAATAATATACTGCCTGCAGCCTCTTTTCAAGCATCTATAAGTGAACATGTCCTCTTTGGGAAGCCATCCTATGGAAATAGTCCAAAATAGAGGAAAGGTAGGATATACACCTTAATTACATCATTGTTTTTAATTAAAGAAAAAAAGGTGGAAATACCTGGAAAGCCAAGAACTTGGGTCTTTTGTAACAACCAACACATATTTGAGAACATACTATATACCAGACACTATGCCAAGCACTGGTGAAGTACAGCAAAACACATCCTCATGATGTATTATTATGAAGCCTTGATGTTTATAAATAGTATGGAAAAACAGTTATAAATACTGGTAAATATTGAAAAGGATATTAAATTATACACATAGACACATATTACAATTACTATGTAAAACAGCAAAAACCTATTACTGGAAAGAAGAGATTGGAATAAAATGTGCCAAGATATTATGGTAATGAGTTTTTTTATTTCTTCTTTCAGCTATTATTAAGGATCATACATTTTAGGTAGAATAAAATAAATTCATCGAAAGGTAAATGGTGTCCTTAATTTAACTAGTATAGTTTCCCCTCAGAACGTTCCCATGTATTTTTATTCAAAATTTGTTTTCTTTTTAAAAGACACTTGGTTGATCTGTTAAATCATATCTGGACAAATGTTTTGTTTGCAGGCTCAGAAGAGTGGATTGCTTTATTTTATTTTTGTCTAATCGAATTAAAGGCCCACAGGAGAAAGATACCAAATCTTTGCTGAGGAAATTTTCATTTGTTAAAAAGAAAAAAAAATGGCTTTCTTCTTGGCATGGTTGGACAGGGAGGTTGGATTTAATTTAGAATGATTAATGAGATTTTGTCAGGCTCCTTGACTGGACTACCACTGCAGTTTGTCAGTGCCGCAACCTGGGGAACCCGGACGCCACTCTGTCGCCCCAAACCACTCTCCAGGGAAAAAATTAACTGGCAGGACTAGTGCCAGGTACATGTCAATGGCATTGTCTCTGAGATATTGACAGCTTAAAAGTCTGAATCAGAAATATGTGGGTTTGGGGGACACACATACCTCCCATGTTGTGTTCAGTCTCTTTACAAGCGGTTAACCGCTTTTGAAATAGTTAAGTTGTTGATGTTTTTCCAAAGGGAACTAAAGACAAAATCTTTACCAAGTCCCTCCTCCCTAATTTATTTTAAAAACTAAACAAAGTAACTTTAGGATATCAAATGACTTTCTGTTGTTTGTTTTTCTTAAAGAATTAAGATGAAGCTTTTCTTAAAAAATGAAATCATTTTTCACTTTTGAAAACGCTTTTTGAACCATTAGCATGACCTAATTTTATAATCGATTTTCAAATTCAGCTATAAGTTTCTGAACTGATTTAATATACCGCCTTTTTTACTTACTCATGTACTTAGTTTAAAAATAATCAATGATATGAATAGCAGCCTGAGAGAGCACAGAGAAGTGAAGGGGCCTAGAAAAGCTGACCGAAGCTGCTGCTCTTATTGAGAGAAGAATAAAAGGAGGAAAATAAAGCAGCTGTGTATATACCAGCACGACTGTCCCCATGACATAGCCCAGTTGGGAGTTTCTTCCAAAGCGAATGTCATTTTCAATCCTGAAGCCATCAACTGGTATATTGCATTTCTAAAATTCTGAGAAATTATATAGACTATTTTCAATGTGTATGCATTTAACATGATTACAACTTAGGTGCCGCAATAAATATTCCTTCCCCCCACCCCCCCAAAAAAATATAATGAAGGAAATTGTGTTCATGAAGGAATTCACAGTTAATTTTATTTCACTTTGGAGATTTCTGTCCCTTAACCTGGGAACAAAGAAAAGAATACATAGTATTTTCCAAAATGCCGTCTAAGAAAGATTATGGCCATTGTCACATTAAAAAGCCAGAGAAAAAAATTCTTGAACGAGGCCCAGCTCCTGTTGGAATAGGTGAACTCCGAGGCCCTGTAACAGCTCTCCTAGGGGAGCATTTATTGGCGTGTTGAAGTGGTGTTGGTTCTGGGTCTTATTGGCCTCAGAAACCTGGTTTTGTCAACACACCTCAAGCAAATGTATTTTTCATAGCATTGATTTTTTGAAATCCAGAACTAAAGGAAATGTTACAGCAATAATTTACGCATGTGATCGTTCTCTTCCTTCAGCAGCCTACAGAAAGTTGACTAATGATTTTGAAATCAAAGCAAGGGAAGTTGCCTGAATCAAATGCTATGTTTCGTATCAGACTGAGAGAACCAAATGCATCTCTGTCTCAATAGAGATGATTTTGCATATTTAAAATCTCATAGCCAAAGTCACTTTTTAATAAGTTTTGCCAGTATTTGCTTCCATGTTTCTCCTTATTTTATACTGTTAAATTAAACAATGTTTGCTCTGCCCCTCACCAGTTGCCTCCCATTGTCATTGATTCAGAATGTTTCTAATATTTTCAATTATTATTACATTGATGTATTTAAAACCTTTATGTAGCCTATCACATTACAAGCATGGCCTGCTCTCCTAAAGTCATTCTGAAGAATTTTGTGCTTTTCTCGCTGTTTAAGGAAAATCTCATGTCTTACATAATCAAGTTCACGATAGCTCCCAAATATCTATAGCATGACCTAAATTTAGAGCATTATTTTACATTATGGTGAAGTTTTAATTTAAATATTCAGCCTGGCAGGTTTGACTCAGTGTTTGAGCACCGACCTATGCACCAAGAGGTCACAGATTCAGTTCCCAGTCAGGACACATGCCCAGGTTGGGGGCTCGATCCCCAGTAGGAAGCATGCAGGAGGCAGCCAATCAATGTTTCTCTCTCACATGTGTTTCTATCTCTCTCCCTCACCCTCTCTCTCTCTATGAAAAATAAAACTTAAAAAAAAAATCAATAAAAATATATTTTTTAAAAATATGCAAACAAACATTTAAAGATGGCTCATTTTGTACTTGCTTGGGCAGCACATATACTAAAATTGGAACTATACAGATACTAGCATGGCCCCTGCAACAAGGATGATTCCCAAATTTGTGAAGTGTTCCATTTAAAAAAATAAAAGATGGCTCACTTTATGCAAGGAGGGAATTAACCAGGTGCTGTGAAAGAGACAAAAATAAAGAAAACTGTTTCCTGTCGTCCAGGGCTTCAGTGGGAGGAAGGCAACCATAATCACATTCAGCTCTATAATGCTCTCTATATATCACCACAAGGTAGCCACGAAGGTCTGGAGAAGTTGCGTGTCTTGGTCACATGACCACTTATAGAGATTAAGAGAGGCAGAGCCCCAGGTACATTTGGTATATCACTAACCTTATTGAACGGCAGAAGAAAATGTGTTAAAAGATCTTTTTAAAAAGTGTTTTAGAAATAAGAGAATGAGCAATTAATACTGGCTAGCTGACTGTGAAAGGATGAATGCTATTTTAATAGAGGTATTACTTGGTGGGAGGAGAGCCTGATCAAAGACACGGAAACAGAAAAGCGTATGAGGGCCATAGAATAGTGAATGATCTGGAATTCCAGGGTAAGGTCTGAGCAATCATTTAGGGGAAGAAAAGACTGAAAAATACAGGTTGGAGCAAGAATATGCTAAAATTGGGAGTTGGCACTTCATTTTTGTAGGCAATTGGAGATTGTCATGGAGAAAAGTATTATTTCTAATCTGTGATTTAGGAAGATCTAAAGCCAATCTGAAATATGAGGTAGAAATGCAACAGAAAGTAGTATAAGGAAATCACTGAAGAGGCTACTGTGATTATGCCAGTGAAAAACGATCGAAATCTTGAACTTTAGCATTGTTATTGGGAGTGCAAATGATAGAAGGTAGATGTGAGAGACATTTTGGAGGTGAACCATCTTGGCAAAGTACTGACTGTTGAACATAAAGATTCAAGAGTTAAAAATTACTCTAAATAGTCTGAAGAAGATAGAGGGAACACAAGTGAAGGACAAGTTTACTTGGGTTGGGAATAAAGTGACAAGAGAGAGGATTTGAGTGGGAGAGAATGAATTCCCCTCTGGTCAGTTAAAGTACAAATAGGACAATCACGTGAAGATATTCAGCAGCTAGTCAGTTAGGTAGGAAATGTAGAATAGAGCAGAGCTTGGCAATAAAAGCTAACATTTTGGTAGAGTCCTCAGTATAAAAATGATAGAATGAACCACAGGAATAGCTATGTATATTGACAATGTCATGATCACTTCAAATAGCACAGTGCACTTCAAGTAGTGAAGTCTAAATAAGTATTTGTTGAATTAACAGATTGATTGACAAGGGTTCGCAAACCAAATATTCAAAAATAGTCTTAAAGTTTTTAAATAACATACCTTAGATATAAAAATATACCGTGTTTCAATTTAAAGAACCTTTCAGAATAACTCTCTGTTTACAAAAGAATCTTCTTGCCAGGACATGAGGCATCCTACTTATCCAATATTCTTTTTTAATGGGTAGACTGTAATTGACTCTATAATCGAAGTACCCAAAACTAAAATTATACCAGACCAAATTAGACCTTGCACTGATTAAGACACATGTGAATCAGCCCTCACCTCCCACCTGAATATCTGAGTCCTTAGGCACTCCGGTTTAGTTGTCTTCACGCCTCCCTGAGGTTTAGGGTTGCAAAGCATCTTCTGGGTTATATCCCATTGCCTTGACCGGGATGCTGTCCCCTAATATACTTATTACAACTATAAGCTCTACATGAGCCAAAGTGGTGCTGTTCTCTGCAAGTCTCCCTGTCCAGCCATATGTTTTCTCAGCAAAAGTGGGAAGAGGAACCCTCTCTTTCGGTGCCTAGCCATCGTCTTTGAGGCCCTCTTGACTCTCCTCCACTGATTCTGCCTTTAGCCCTCAAAGTCCTTCTCTGCATGCAAATCAGCCAGACAGCTCCGAGGAACCAGACTCACCAATTCCTCACAAAGGCCCACACCAGACTTAGGACCACCCCAGTGCTCCTCAGCCTCTCCAGCCAGGCACCTGCCCCATAACCTGGGGGACTACAGAGTTTATTGTCTACACCAGGACACTTCTGAAAGTGCTAAAATGCTAAACCAGATGGCACTTCAAGACAACAGGCATACACTAGGAAGTATGGTCGCCCTACCCATGACTATAATACAATGTGATAAATGCAATAATAAAAGTTTAAACACTTTGCAGTGGGAATGTAAATGCACTGAAGGGTCAAAATTTGGTCCCAATCGAAAGCATCTCTAAATTATTTTCCAATTGGCATCCATGATAAAAACCATACTGTTAAACCAGGGATATTTGTATTCACGCTGCACAGCAGAGCTCTGGCCCTGGCAGGAAATACTCTTTCAGCATCTTGGAAATAGATTCTGTAAGTTAGAATTCTCGTTTTGTAGTTTGGTCAATATGACAAGGAACTGAGTCTCAAAAATCTCTGGAAAGATCGTGGAGATATTTCATTTGGCAATAAATAATAACATCAAAATAACAGGTAACATGTATCTTACTCTTCTATTAAAGCTTACTCTGCTAAAGGCTTTGTATTCCTTAACTCATTTAGTCTTCGCAAGTACCCTCTGAGGAGATAGTGAGTCCTGGATATGCATCTATCTAAATACACCCGTCGCTGGGAAGATATGGGTAAGAGTGTTTCAAAGCAAGGGAAGCAGCAATGCAAAGGCCATGAGGCGAAAACGAAGTTGGTCCCTGTACAATAGAATGTAAGCTTCATGAAGGAATGCGCTGCCTTATTTACTTATCTACTCCAAGTACCTTAAAAGAGCCACTGAAACAAGGAACAGTCAGTCAATATTTGAGGAATGCATGAATGCATGAATGAGGAAACCCAGGGAAGGTGAGTTTTAGAGAAAAAGGCAGAGGTCATATCTTGTAGGGCCTGGTGGTGATAATAAGAAATTAGGAAAAATCTCAAACTACATTTAAACCACTCTAAAAGTATTTCTACATCCTATATAAACCATTTTCTAAGAATGGAAGATTTTTTATTTCTTTTACCTCTTTGGGAGTCTGAAGGTGAAGAAAGGTCTAATTTTATTTTAGAATATATTCTATTCCAAAGAGATCGGAATACATAATTTTATTCCTTCAATGTAAGTGAGAGGTCACACTTAAGGGGAGTATGGAAATAAAATATAGACATGATTGCATGTATGTATACATTGTCATATATGTTTGACTACTTTTCAGCATGGGTGTTATTCTAAGATATTAATGTTTGGGACAATACAAACAAATCGCAGTGTGATACCTAAGTGTCTCTACAAGAATTTGAATACAATAGACTCAAGGCTTCCTGGAGGCCCATGCAAAGCCAGATGTTCAGTCCTTTAGGCAGATTTCTATAATCCCCACACCTAGGGGACAGAGAAAAATGGGAGGGTAGCCGAAACCAGTTTGGCTCAGTGGATAGAGCATAGGCCTGCAGACTGAAAGGTCCTAGGTTCGATTCCGGTCAGGGGCATGTACCTGGGTTGCGGGCACATCCCCAGTAGGAGATGTGCAGGAGGCGGCTGATCGATGTTTCTCTCTCATCGATGTTTCTAGCTCTCTATCTCTCTCCCTTCCTCTCTGTAAAAAATCAATAAAATATATTTTTTAAAAAAAAGGGAGGGTAAAAGCAGAATTTCTTAAGATAAGCTTGGGATCTTCCAGAGAGGCCTCTGGGGAACACAGCTGACTCTTCTCTCCTTGAAGGGACGAGACCCTCGAAAGGAATGCTTTAGAAAACTGAACGCAAGATGCTTTATAATCATTAGCTATTAATTGTAGTGTTACAAAAGAGACATTTTAAGCAAAATATGGTGGAAATTTTTATAGAAATATCTATTCTTTGCACCAAATTTTGATTCATATTAAGCTATCAGTTTTGCACATTTCGCCACCTGGTGGATAACCTGGAAACTACAGGATTTTATTTTATTTTACCCCACCCCCACCCCTATAGTGATTAATTTCCATATTCTCAGAAAGAATTGCTCTAACCCAGGGCAAGGATATTGTTTCTTTTCTTCATCAGTGCTCCTAGAATAGTGCCTGACACTTAGTAGGTAAAAATAGTTGTTAAGTGAATGATGGGTTCATACTCCATTTAAAGACTGTCCTTATGGAGAATTGGAAATGTGGTGTTGGGGAAATGTGTTTCCCAACTGACATGAACGTTACAAATTATTTAAAAAGTGAGTGGTGAAAAAAATAGTAAGTGGTGGTGGGGTCTATATTATGGGGTTAGAAATATGTCTACATAGTTCATTAGGAACAGAAGATGTTATCATTGCTCAGTGTAAACAGATAATGCAGTTAGTTTAGTGAGAACCTAACTCTCCTCACTCCAACTGCTCCAAATGAAATTAAAGATACCCTGGGAAATGTCCTTTCTCCTTTGCCTGAAAACCATGACTAGCTTTCTTCTTACTTCAGGCTTTGATGCTTGCTATTCCCTTTTTCTGCTGCCAAAAATTATGAAGCCTTTTTTTTTTTAAATAAAAGAGTGTGTATGCATATGTATAAATGTATGAATATGTATTATTCTTTTTCAAAATAACATTCTGTGCTTCTACTCAGAGAACCAAGAGTGTTAATGACTTCTAAAGATATTTCACCTGGTATAAAGATTGGTGATTTCATAAACAAAATAATCATCATAATTTTTAGATAAAGCATTTCTCTAATGTCTTTTTGATTTCTGAGATTTTCTTTTGGAAATATTTTAAAAAGCAAAACATATGCTTATGTCTTAGCACCTAAAAATTTGGGCTGGAAAAAAATAATTAGATAATCCACCTCAAATTTCTCGGGAGGGTTATTTTCCATTCTAAAATCAGCAAAATATGTATACAGACAACATATAACAGTATACCTATGGTTAATTGAAAGAACTTAATTGTTAGGTTTGCAAATCAAGCTGATAGTAGATTGGCAATATCCTTATAGGTTTTGATAATACGTTGTTAATATACAATCTTGGTTCTTTTAAGCTGAAACTATATATATATATATATATATATATATATATATATATATATATATATATATATTTGTTAATAAAACTCATT